CACTTTTTATTAACAGGAAAATACAAATGTACATGTAGAAAGAATTCTGACCACCAGGTGGTGGCGCACGCCTTTAAAACCAGCACTCTGTGAGACAGAGGCAGGTGGATATCTGTGAGTTCGAGGCCAGCCTGGTCTACGGAGCGAGATCCAGGACAGCCAAAGTGACACAGGGAAACCCTGTCTCAAAAAAAACAAACCAAAAAGAAAGAAAGGAAGGAAGGAAGGAAGGAAGGAAGGAAGGAAGGAAGGAAGGGAGAATTCTGACTGAAAAGAAAAGCTGATGCAATAGCACACTGGTTTGATACCTACTCCGAACAGACCGTACCCTTAATTTTCTCATCTGCCTGAGTCACCCAATTTTGAGCTGTTTCATGTGCACTTTTAGCTCACCTCACTCAGCTGCCATATGCTTGCCCTCCCCTTTAAAACGGTTAATTATGGATGGGCAAGACGGTTCTGTGGGTAAAGGTGCCTGCCTCCAAAACTGATGACCCTGAGTTCAATCCCCAGGAGCCACATGGTGAAGAGAGAACATCAATTTTCTGACCTTCATCCATGTGCCATCGCACTCATGTACACATGCACACACTCATGCACACACAAACACATACACATGCACACATACATACACAAAATAAAAATGTAATAAAATGGTTATTTGTAATCCTCGTGGGCTAGCGACATAGCACAGAGGTAAATAAAGGCTTTCCTAATATTATCAAGGCTTGGAGTTCAACCCCCTGGTACCACAACAAAGAAATAAATAAACAACCACCTGGGGCTGGAGAGATGGCTCAGCGATTAAGAGCACTGGATGCTCTTCCAGAGGTCCTGAGTTCAATTCCCAGCAACCACATGTTGGCTCACAACCATCTATAATGTGATGTGATGCCCTCTGGTGACATGTAGGCATACATGCAGATAGAGCACTCATACCTAAAATATATATATACAGCCACCTCTATAGGAGGTAAGAATTTCCCAATTAAATTGGAAATCTCTAAGGGGAGGGATTCACACTCGGCTAATGGGCACATGCTATCATAAACAGCAGAAAACTCTACAGCTTCCTGGAAGAAGCAGGACGTGGTGTCAGGTGTCAGGTGTCAGGGTCCTCTAGAGGAAGAGAACCGGTACAGTGAGTACGCAAAAGGGACTGGGTTTAAGTATGGCATGCGCAGTTCCACAGTAACTGTCTTTACACTGGGGAAAGCTGAGATCTGGTAGCTGCTCCATTCGTGAGGCTGGATGGCTCGACAATCCAATTGATGCTGACAGTCTGGAGGATTCCTGGAGAGCCACGCGTCTTCAGCACACATTGGAAGGCCACAGCATTTGAGATCTTTCATCAGTAAGAAATGGTGGCAGCGGCAACAATGTAGATGAACTCACACATGGGGAAGAGGAACTCACCGGCAAGACACAAAGGCAAGCAGGCAAAACGCAAAGCTTTTCCCCTTGGACCTCGTTAGAACCAGCCCACACTCAAAGGTGCTGCCCAGATTTAGGGTGGGTATTTCCACATCTGTTAACTTCATCAAGAAAATCCTGACGGGCTGGAGAGATGGCTCAGCGGTTAAGAGCACTGACTGTTCTTCCAAAGGACCCGGGTTCAATTCCCAGCACCCACATGGCTGTTCACAACTGTCTGTAACTCCAGTTCCAGGGGACCCAACACCCTCAAACAGACATACAGGCAGGCAAAACACTGATGTTCATAAAAGAAAAAGAAAAAGAAAAAAAAAATCCTTCATAAGTGTGCTCAGACTCTGTCTCTCAAGTTTCAGATCCAGTCAAAGTTGACAGCCAAGATACTTATCACATGTGGGAATGTATGTCCAAATTTGAAAACCCCTTCCTAAAAACACTATCCTGCCTCCTCTGGAACGCAATACTCATGTGTCCCTTGTGCTTACAAGTGTAGAAATGAAAATATGTCCCCTAACTTTTATAACCATTACGGAAATATTTTATATTTCCTTTAGACAGTACAAAGGAATATCTCCTTCAAGGAACATGTCCCAGAAAATTTGTTTGCATGCCTCACATACCCCCACAGCAACCAGGACACTGCCGGATACATAATATGGGGCTTCATAAATATTTGTTCTCTGCTTAGAGCTAGAAATGGAAACATGTGAAGGTTTTGCTATAGAAGACCTACCCCACGGTCTAATAAACTGTCTTCAGTAACTCTCAAACAGTGTGTTATCATGAAAGTCTGTACAACATACATAAGAGTACAGGATAAGAGAGACTGTGGAGGCGTTGTTTAATGAAAGATGACATTTCAGCCAGCTAGTGGTGGCGCACGCCTTCAATCCCAGAGCCCAGAAGGCAGAGGCAGGCAGATCTCTGTGAGTTCCAGGACAGTCTGGTCTACAGAGCAAGTTCCAGGACAGCCAAGGCTACACAGAGAAACTTTGTCTCAAAAAAAAGTGACATTTCAGGGGCTGGAGAGATGGCTAAACAGTTAAGAGAACAGTATATCCTTACAGAGGACCCAGGTCTGGTTCCTAGCACCCACATGGCAACTGACAACCATGTAACTCCAGTTCCAGGGGATCTGACACCCTCTACTGACTTCTGCAGGCACCAGACACATATGTGATACGCTTATATACATGCAGACAAAATATTCATACATAAAATTTTTAAAAATGTTTTTTTCAAAGGTGACATTTTAGCTTCAAAGAGCAAACAGTAACTCACCATACACAAATGAAGCAAGCATCTACATTATGCATAAGGCTGAATGCATAGAATGATGTATAAAGCACACAGGATATGGACGGCATGGAGGAAGGGGAGCCTGGAAGCACCCCAGGGATTGGAAGGGCCTTGTGCTCTACACCAAAGGCTAGATTTCATACACAGAGGGCCTCCAAATGGATGCACTGAGTGAAGAGGGTATTGAGATGATCCCGGGGGAAATGTCAACACCTTATTAAATTTTCTTTTCTTACCGTTGGTTGGTTCTATACAACTGACAAGGTCAGCAAAAACAAAGAAAGTCTGAGACTGTAAAGGAGATTGCAGAGTGCCTGAGAGGATTGTAGTCTGATATGATAAAACCATGGGTCATAAAGTTGCACAAGGGTCTAACCTAAAAGAGCCTTCTTGTCAGAGTCCTAGAAACTTCCCAGGTTGACAGCTGGGAAAGGAGACAGGCCATACTTGAAGGACACACATGCTTAGGCCGTAGGCCTGGTCCATTATTATTTTAACATTACTTAAAATATCTCTGTTAAAAGAACAATATAGATGACCTTCACAGCAAATTTTGTTAATTGTGCAGACATTCTTAACTCAGCTGGCAGGAGACTTTCACCCAGACTTGGGGGCCGGGGGCTCCCTTCCCATGTTCCCTCAAACTCTGCCTTTCTATCCTCCCTGAAACTCTCTGTATCGACTGTGCAACTTTCCTGTAACCTGAACCTTCTCAAGTGAAAAGTGTGCTTAAGGACACATGGTGCTGCTCTGACGGGGAAGTGTTCAGGGTGATTGGAATCTGATCCCTGAGCTTACCAAGGAGGGCATTAGCAATCTTTTCTCAGAGAAACAAAATCAATAGAGAGAGAGAGAGAGGAGAGAGAGTGGAGGACAAACCTATTGGCTCATACAAGACAGAACGGGAGGGCTCTTGCTAAGGAAATCTGAAGACAGTCCCCTGGAGGATCCCTTCTCCCCATCTTCTCGGGGGAAGGAGATGAGAAAAGGGAAGCTGGTCTTTTTTTTTCTAATCGAACCTTCAAATTCATTAAAAACCCACCCCCGTGGTGGACAAGCAAACTGACCCATCAAATTAGCCACACCAAAGTTACTGTCTGAACATACATTTTAAAAGGATTTGCCAGGTGGGTGTGTGCGTGCTCAAGGGGCCTTTCTCTACAACTGTCGATTTGAAATCTACAAGGTATGGTTGTTTTAACTTGAAAACTTGCCCAGCGTTCACTAGGCCAGGAGTTAGGGATGTCTTCAGAATTCCTCAGCCCTTCTAGACAGGGGACCTCACCTGGCTTACTGATTTGCAAGCCTTTGTTATTCTTTGGTCTGCCTGGAATGCTCCAAGGACATCTACCACATCTTATCTTTTCCATCTGTCTGCAGATATGGCCTGTATTACTTAGAGGCCCAAGGGCCACAACAAGGCTGACTGGGGCGGTTGCCTAGTTCCTCTTTCTTAGAGTCAGCAGTAGGAAAAACTGTCCAAATTAGATTTACAGAGAAAAACCTCAATGCTTGAACATCATGTGGCCTGCCAGATCAATGGTACCAGCACTGGTCTAGTATGTTTGGAGCCCTGGGTTCAAACTACAAGATTAAAAAAGCAGAGAGAGGGGGCTGGAGAGATGGCTCAGTGGTTAAGAGCACCGATTGCCCTTCCAGAGGACTCGGGATCAATTCCCAGCACCCACATGGCTGCTAACAACTGTCTATAACTCTAAAATCTGACACCCTCACTCAGACCTACATGCAGGCAAAATGCCAACGCACATAAAATAAATAAAAGTGAATTATTTAAAAAAAAAAAAAAAGCAAAGAGAAAAAGCAGCTGCCTACGTTAGGGTTCACCTGTGAAATAGGCAGTTTCGTCGGACAGAACGTGTTTTTCTTTACTGCTTTTCCACCTCAAAATCCACCTGCTATCCTAGAACAAAGACTGCAATAGTCAGGAACTCTACTACAGACATCCGGAGGTCAAATACTCCCTGTCCACTTCCCCCGCTCTCTATCACTGCGTGATGAAAGCCCCGTCGCCGCCTCCAGGTTGCCCCCCAGTCCCTCAAGGACCGGTGTACCCCGGCTTTTGCTAGGGGAACAGAGGCCCAGAGATTCCCCCACCGCCCGCGGCGCACGGTGCAAGCGCCAAGCCCCGCCCAGCCACGCCCACCCCTGCTGCACCACGCCCACACCGGAGTTGCCCGGAGCTAAGATGGCACCTTAGGAACCAGCGGCCAGGACTGGGCGGGGCCTGGGTGACGCAAGGGGCGGGGCCAAAGTCTGCCTCGCCCGGCCAGAGCGGCCCCGGCGGCTGTCCTCCCGAGAGCTCCGTTGGCTGAAGAACAACATCAGCACATCTGCTCTCCAGGCGTCATGAGGCCCCTGCTTCGGGGTCCGGCGATGAACGACGAGGAGGAGAACTCGGACAGCACCCCGCTCCTGCCGAGCGCCCGGCAGGCCGAAGCGGGTGAGCGGCTGGACCACCGAGGGGCTGCTAGTGGGAGCGTTCCGGGCGGCGGGTGGTTCCCTGCCGTGGGCGCCTCGAGGGTGTGGCTGCGGGCTGGGGGGACGGGTACAGCCCCCCGGAACCCGCCGGAGCTGCCCGCGCTGGCCGGGCACTAAAGCAGTTCGGGGTCCTGGGTATCCTACCAGTCAATGAGCAAAGGGCCAAAGTGGCGCTCGCTCTTCCCCACTGACTGCCAGGTTTCCGCTTATGCCCGTCTGCAAGCATGTGATCAGGTAGCTCCTTGGGCAGGGAGGAGACACACACACAGGGAGAAAAAGAATAGTTAACAGCTGTTGAGTGTGCGGAGGACAGTTGCATAATCCCGCGAATATCTTGACTTTGTGCTGTCAGAGACTAAAAATATTGCAGACATTTCCATTTTTCCTCGTCTATCAGACTACAGTGTAAGTTAAGAAACAGATCATTCTCGAAATGGCTATCTGTAGTGCGCTAAGATAATGTGCCCAAGGTACTTCAATGTGGCAGTGGTACTTCAAAAAGCATCTTCCCTGACTGGGGATGAGGCTCAGTGGTAAGAGTTTTTGCCTGGCAAGGTTCTGGTCTCCATACCCACCATGCCCCAAAACCCAGGTATGTGTCTTCACTGGATTTTGCTACACTTCTGTACTGTAGCTTCTGAAAGCTACTGAAAACTAAAAGACAAATGGACTTGCACACATCCAAGGATACAGGTGTGAGAAAGACTTGAACTGGAAATTTGCCTTTGTTGACCACGAACGACTGTCTTCCGTGGGTATGTCTTTTGTTAACATTACCAAAGGATAGCCAGGCGGCTGTGGCGCATGCCTTTAATCCCAGCACTCGGGAGGCCGAGCCAGGCGGATCTCTGTGAGTTCGAGGCCAGCCTGGTCTACAGAACGAGATCCACGACAGGCACCAAAACTACACAGAGAAACCCTGTCTCAAAAAAACAAAAGAAAAGAAGAAAAAAAAACCAACAAACCATTACCAAAGGATCTTTCGTAACTGCTTTAACCATAAGCAGATAGGCACCCTTCTTACTTGTGTGTATAACTACCCTGCTATGACTACTTTCTGACTTTGTTCAGACACTTTTGTTATTTTCTTGGTGATCTATTTTGGTTTTGTTTTATTTTTGAATAGTGTGTTTGGGGACTGGAGAAATGGCTCAGCTGTTAGAGCACTGGCTGCTCTTCCAGAGGACCTGGGTTCAGTTCCCAGCACCCACACAGAAGCTCACAACTGTCTATAATTCCAGCTCCAGGGGATCCAGTACCCTACTGAGGCCTCCATAGGCACCAGGCATGCATGTGGTACACAGACATACATATAGACAAAATATTCATATACATTAAAAAAAACTAAGAAAGGATGCTTTATTTAGGGGCTGAAGAGATGGCTCGGTGTTTAAGAGCACTGGCTGCTCTTCCAGAGGACCCAGGTTCAATTCCCAGCACCCACATGGCAGCTCACAACTGTCTGTAACTTCAGTTCCAGGGGATCTGACACCCTCACACCAATGCACATAAAAATAAAATTATATATATATATATATATATATTATATATATATATTATATATATATATGTTTTTTTAGAAGAATGCTTTATTTTGTAAAGTTTAAGGCAGCAGTGGGTTGAGCCTAGTCACTTTTTGTTTGTTGGTTGGTTGGTTGGTTGGTTGGTTGGTTTTCTTTGAGACAGTCTCATGTAGCCCAGGCTAGCCTCTAACTACTGCGTAGCTGAGGGTGACTTTGTACTCCTGATCCTCCTGCCTCCGCCTCCTAAATACGTGCTAAGCAAGCACTCTACCCACTGAGTTACACTCCGGCCCCTTTTGCTTCCTTCTCGGGTTAGAATCAAAGTCTGGCACTTTACCGTCTTGCCATCCATTACCCTAGATCCCCTGCGCTTTGCCGGCACGTCCATCTTGGTGCCAACTGCCTCCACGGCAGACGCGCAGCACTTGAAGTTCCACGAGGCGGAGACTTCCACCAGGCTTGCGTGGGTGTCTCCCTTCTCAGCAGTCAGTCCCGTCTGTTCCACTAGAAGCCTTGTACCACCACCACCACCACCCCCCCCCCCCCGTAACTTAATTTCCCACAAATGAAAAATAGCCGCAGCTCGTAACATAGGAGCTGGGTCTCCAGGATCCAGAGAAGGCAGTGATAACAGTTGGGTTACTGAGATGACTGCGTGCTGCACAGTGCCCTGAGTAGATCGCAGCTCATCTTCCGAATGTCTGTAACGCAAGCTCAATCCAGTAAACGTTCAGGAACGCGAGCTGTTTGGTTCGGAAACCCAGCGCCCGCTCCCACTCAGCAGTATTCGTTCTGAGACCGGGTCCAGGCTAAGGCCTTAAGTTCTCCCCGGTGCCTTTCTCGTTTCCTTGCCCTGCACATCCTGTTGCTTTTGCTTGCCCGGCTGTTCTCACGCCCGCCCCGCCCCCACAGCTGCCTGACTACTTCGGCTCATTGAGGAAGCCACAGTCAAATATCCCTCTTCCAAAAAGACCTTCCCTGGCCTGTCTCCCAAGATGAGTGGGCCTCCTTTCTCCCTTGTATAGGTATGCAGCACTCTGTTTTATTAGCAAGGCTTCCTCAGGTGTGGAGGTGGGGATTAAGTGAGAGTGCCCTGTGATTTCCTATGATGTAATCCCCACAGCTCAACTGGCATGGATAGTTATAGAGGGCACTAGGGAAACCAGGGGTGTTAAACACAGGTTGTCTCTTCAACAGAAGAGAGAACCTGTTTTCTGCCCAGAAGGCTGGGATTGGATGTAGTTAATAGCCTGGTGACCTGTGCTGTCTGTAGGGCCGGGCCACATCTGACTTCCCCCAGGCTTTTATGACTCTTCCTCCCAACACCTTTATATTGAGTATTTTTTTCTCAATCTATAGAACCCATCTTTATGGACTAGGTCACATGTACTTTGCAAAGAGTTTGGATGTAGTGGTACCTTAAGCTTTACCGCACTCATGGGATTGAGTTTATTGTCACCAGGAAACTATTTTCCAAAATTGTACTGTACTTAAATGTGCCTAAAATAAACTGCCTGGGATTTGAACCAATGCCTGCTACTGAGTTGTGGTGAGCCCGATTTCCTTCTTGCCTCATTCGTATCAACACTCCGCGGACCCTGGTGTTTGCACAGATCCCCACCATCAGCACCCAGCGTGAGGGGGGCTTGACAATCGGAGAAGGTAAGAACATTTTTCTTTAAATAGAAACAGAAGAATTCACGACCTTAAGTGAGAGAGTGGAAATAATCATGGGTTCCAGTCAGTCCTCTGAAACAAAGAACTTTATACAAGTATTGAGACATTTGTTAAGACCCAGAGGAGAGGGCTGGAGAGATGGCTCAGCAGTTAGAGCACTGGCTGCTCTTCCAGAGGACCTGGGTTCAATTCCCAGCACCCATGTGGCAGCTCATCACTGACTGTAGCTCCAGTTCCAGGGGATCCAACACCTTCAAACAGACATGCAGGCAAGCGAAACAACAATGCACCAAAAATAAAAATAAATAGATCATTAAATAAATACATGTAAAGACCCAGAGGTAAAATATTAAGAGCAAGAGCTCTGCAACTTTTGTACAAGTAACTGTAAAACTTAATCCTTGGTTTCCTGACCAAATACCTATTGATGTGAATCCTGGAAGCTCGTGGGATCTAAAGGAAGATGAAATCTCTGTCAATGATTTTGCAAGCTAGAATACAATAATCGTGTATTGCTTGGATCCTCTCAGGAGGATTATTTAAGAGAGAACAGAGAAAAGAAAATTTTCTGCCGAGACACATCTTGGCAGGTCTTAGCAGGGTGGGCTTAATGAATTCCCTCAGCCGCTCAGGCTTCACCCACCTATGCCTGTTAGCGGCTCACCCTCCTGAGCCATCTAACTGGATCTCAAAGCCCTCTGGCCCAGCTGCCCTGCTGCCCTTCCTGCCACCCTGATCTGACAGAGCTCGGAGCAGCTTAGTGCAACACCAGTTCCAGGAATGGCTGAGAGGAGGGTACTCTGTTGGTGCAGCATGAGGTAGGTTTAGGCTGCCCCAAAGAGATTTGGATTTGTTGTTTTTCTTGAAGACAGGGTCTCACTATGAAGCTCTGGCTGTTCTGGAACTCACTGTAGCCCAGGTTAGCATCCAACTCAAGGATCCACCCGCCTCTGCCTCCTGAGTGCTGGGATTAAAGGTGTGCTCCAGATGACCCTTCAAGAAGACAAGGAGCATATGTTTTAGATTCCACAGGCTCCACAAAAAAGACTGTACTCACCCCGGTTGTACAGCTCAACAGTGAACTTGCTGTAATTAATCAGCTTTTATTAGATGTTTGTCAGCCATTGACTATTTTAACTGGCCCCATGTGTAAACTAGAACACGAAGGGCAGAAATGCACTGAGAATGGGAACGGCCTAGCTTGAGGGAAAAGGAATGTTGCAGAAGGATTGTGAATGTAGAGAGAGTGTAATGGAAGACTGGAAACATTTGAATGAGGTCCTCAAGGATGGAGTCCAGTAAAGAGAAAGGAGGATCCCATGGAACATGGATAGCTCGGAGACAGAAATGGAAAAAAGGTTCAATGTGCTCCTTCCTCTGAGTTTCCTTGCTTTGAAAGTGAAATAAGGAAATAAGTCCAATCCTATTGAGACATGACACTCATACTGCACTGCTGGGACCTCTGTCTCCCAAGAACTCAAGCAGGAAACGCCTGCCTCGGAGGAAAGCCAGGAGCAGCTATGGCTGTCTCCGTAGAAGGGTTGGTGCAGTGTCTGTCACTGAGACTCTAAGTGCTTTCCTTGCTGGTGGCTGGGCACTTTACGAATCCATCCATGGTGCACTCACCACCTTAGCAAAATAAGGAATTTTATCTCATCCTTTACATCAAAAGTGGAGCCGTGCTCACGCACCTTCTCTGCTCTCAGGTGTGGAGATCTGTGCTGAAATGCACTACAGGCGTGCATGCACAGGATGCTACAGG